TTATATTAAAAATTAATTATAAAAAAACTAATAATTAATTATTTAAGTTTTATTTAATAAATATAATAAATATTTTTATATAATAAATTATTTTAAATAGCTTATTTTATAATATATTTATATAGTTAATAAGCTTAGTACTTTAGTATTATAAGCTTACTTTATTAATACTTTCTTTAAAAGTAAATTACTTTTTTTTAAAATATAATTAATTATTCTTTTTAAAGTTCTCTTATAGTATATATTTATTAAAATTTTATATTATTAATTTATAATATAATATCCCTTTTTTATTAATTTTATTTTTAAAACTTAAAGTATATAAGTTTTTAATTACTTTATTATATTATAAGTAATTTTATTTTTTTTATTATATTTAAAAATATTATTAAATTTTCTTAGTTAATTTTAAAAAATTTACTTAAAATTATAAAGCTTATACTTTATTAATTAATACTATTATTTTTTAAATTATACTTTATTTCTTTTATAATATTTATAGTTTATTATATAAAATAGCGCTTAAGTATTAAAAATATTTTATATATATTTATAAAAGTAAAATATATAATAAAAATAATATTTTTTTTATAGCTAATAAGTTTTTTCTTTTTATAATAAATAAGGTTTTAACTTTATATAGCTTAATATTTAATATTTAAAAAAAAGAAATTAAATATTAAAAAGTAATAAATTAAGTAAAAATTACTTTAATAATAATAAAAGTTAATAAAGTATTAATAATAAATAATATTATTATTTTAATTATTTTAATTAATAAATAAAAGTTTTATATAATTATTATATTTTTATAAGTAATATTTATAAATAAATATATAAGGTAAGTAAATACTTTATAAAGGTATTTAGTTTTTTAATAAATTAAATAAGCTTAATTATATTAAGTTAAGGGCAGTAATAAAAGTTTAATTTAATAATAGTATTAATAAAATTCATTAAAATATAATATTTATTAATTTAAGTTTATTAATTCTATTAAATAAAAAAACTTTTTTATTAGCTTTTAAAAGTTAAAGTATTTTATTAATTTTTATAAGTTTTTTAAGTTAAAGTATTTTTTTTATTTAATAAAGTACTTAACTTTATTTATATTAAAGTTTTAATATATAATAAATATATATAAAAATAATAAAATATTTAATAAATAATTTTAAAATTTAAATATATATTTTTTTAAATTATACTTTAATTTATTCTTTAAGTATTTAAGTTTTATTTTATTAAAATTATAAATTTTATAGAATTTTAAAAATATTTTATTTTTTAAAATAATTTTATAATTTATTTAAAGTATAATAATAGCTTTTCTTTTTAATTTATTTTAAAAAAGTTTTTTATATTTTTTTAATATTACTTTAAAATATATATAAATAAATTTATAAATTACTTAACTTTTTAAAGTTCTTTATTTAATATTATATATTCTTTTTATAAAATTATAATATATTTTTATATTTATTATTTTAAAAAAATTTTTTTTTTAATATATTAGAAAAATATTATTATAAGTATAAGGAAAATCTTAGGTTTTTAATATTTTAAGTTTTCCTTTCCTTTATTTAAACTTAATTTATTATTTTATTAATAAATTAAATTAATTTTTTTATTTATATTAAGTTAATACTTATATAATTATAATATTTTTATAATAAAATTATATTTAAAAATATTAAGAATATTATAAATAGTTATTATAATATAATTTTTAAAGTTAATTAATAAATAATTAATTTATTTTTTAATTTATTTATTATTATATTAAAAGAGTTATTCTTTTATATATTAAAGTTAATATAATTTTTTTTATATATATTAATAACTATAAGTATATTATAATTAATATAAATATATAATTATATTTTAATTTATTATTTATAAAAACTATAAAAAAATATTTTTAATAATACTTTATATAATAGTTATTTTATTATTATTATTTTTTTATTTTTACTATTATATTTATTATTATTTTTTATTTTTTTTAAAAAAATATTATATATTATTAATTCTCTTAGTGCTCTTTTATTAATTTTTAATTTTATTTTATATATATTAAATATATTTTTTATTTAAATAATTTATAAAAAGTTTTTTTTTATAATATAAAGTAATATTTTTATTATATTTATTTTATTATTTTATAGCTTTAATAAATTAATAATATTTATAATATATTAATTTATATTTATATATACTTTTATTATTATATATTTAATTAATTTTAATATAATAACTTTAAGAAATTAATATTTTTAAGTTACTTTTTACTTAAAGAATTTTAATAATAAATTTAAATATAATATAATATAAAATAAAATTTAAATTAAAAAAGCATTAGCTTTTTATTTATTATTAAAGTATTTTATATATTTATATATTATATAATTTATTTAATTATATTAATAATAAGTAAAGTAAGTTAAATTAATATATTTATAATTCCTTATTATAAAGTAATAATTAAAGTTTTATTATAATGCTTTATAAAAAGTTATAGCTTTAATAATATATTAAGTTTTAAGCCTTTATTATTTTTTCTTACTTTATTATTTATATAAAAATAATAAAGTAATACTTTTAATAAATTCTTTTATTTTTATTATACTATAATAAAATTAATTAAGTTTTTATATTTTAAAAGTATAGTTTTTATAGCTTTTTTATATATTTTTATATTATTTATTATAATATTTATAATTATATTATTTATTATTTTTATTTTTATTAAAGGTTTTTTTTATAATTTAAGTAAATTATTAAAAATTAATTAAAGATTTTAATATTTTCTTTTTATAAAATTATAAAGTTATTTAAGTATTTAAAATTAAATTTATAATTAATTAATTACTTTATAAAGTAAATATTTTTTTTATTTTCTTATATAATATAATTATTTTTAAGTTTAAGGATTTTTTTTTAAGTAACTTATAGTTATATACTATATAATTAAATTTACTATAGTTATAATACTTAAAGTTTTTTTTTTTTTTCTTTTTTTTATTATATTAATATTTATAAGTTTTAAAATATTATTATTTTCTTTAATAATTAATTTTTATTATTTTTTACTTTAATTTAAGCTTTTTTAATTAAAATTATTTTAATTTTATTATATTAAGTTTATAAAAAAAGTTATTTATTATAATATATTTTTTTTATAAATAAAATTAAATTATATTAATTTAATTAATATTATAAACTTTTTCTTTAATACTATTATTAAGTTTATTATAAAAATATTTAATAAAAGTAAATTACCTTTAAGTAACCTTAAAAGTAAAAATTTTAAATTTTATAATATAATTAAAGTATTTTCCTTTTTAATAAATTTATAAAAGTTTAATTTTTATTATTTTAAGTTTTTTAATATTTTTAAAGGCTTTTATAAATTTACTTTTAAATTCTTTAAAACTATTAAAAACCTTTTTAATAAATTTTAATAATAATTTATTAAAATTTTTAAAATAT